TGTTGAACCCCCTCTAGCGCGAATGCACGATGCGATATGATTGGGCATTGAGGCATACAAGTTCTGTATGATGTCTTGAGACATTTCGCTCCATATTTGCTGTAACCTTGCCTCTAGTTCGTTCAAACTCATGGGGTACCCAACTCGCCATCCCAAATGATCCCAGATATGCTCGATTGAAGACAAATCTGGGGATCGGGCAGGCCAAGGAAGGGTAGCAACAGTACGGAGATAGTCTTGTGACACCCTTGTCATGTGAGACCGAGCATTATCTTGTTAAAAAATGGTTCCTGGGAGCCGTTGCATGAGTGGCAACACATGTGGTTGCAGGATTCCATGGCATACTGCTGGGCTGTCATGGTGCCATGGATCAATACTAGGGATGACCATGTTTTCTAAGCAATGGCACCCCATACCATCACACCAGCTGTGGGAAGCAAAGGCAGGATTGAGGCGTTCACCACGGGGTCTCCACACACGAACACGATTGTCATCATAGCTGAGATTGAATCTGGATTCATCACTAAAAGACGACCTGGTTCCATTCCACTGCAGTCCAGTTTCCTCGTGCGCGGCACTACTCCACCCGGAGGTGTCGATGGGTGGGTGTCAAGGGCAGCACACGTAATGGGCACCGCGATCCCAAATGTCCTTCAGCCAGGCGCCTTCGTATGGTTCGAGAAGACACAAGGGCCCCCAGTGAAGGTGCTACATATGCCTGGATGGCGGCCGATGAAGCAGTTGACTATACGTGTGCATTTCTTACGATGTGGCGGTCTTCTCGACGACTGGTCTGTCGAGAGAGTCCTTGAGCCTGGTCTTCGTGTAAATGACATCTCTCGGTTCCACTGGTCCCAACACCACCTCACAACACGATCAGAGTGGCCTAATTGATGAGCTACTCGCCTAGCTGACCACCCAGCTTCCATCATGCCGATGATTCTCACCCTCTCTCAAACTACGACAGCTGCCCTTATTGTCTTGGAAAACGGCATAAGGGCATGTCTACCTAAGCTATTCCTTTGTAAACGGTTCAGCACACTTAAACAAGCTTTGGTTACCTATTTTATACTCCACGGAGAACGACGATAAACGCTCTCTACCAGCTATACGTAATGCGCAATCACGCTGCATTTCTAATCATTTGCATATCTTCTCGACATGTACCTTCATGCCAAGTTTCGTTACGATCCCGCAATTATTTCTTGGTGTGTTAATTGTTTTGTCCATGAGTGTATTTAAGAGACACACACAGACAGAAAAGACACCTGCTCACACTCACATATATATAGAGTGTTCCGAAACTCAACATTAAAGAGGGGGTGGGTATATATAACTTTTTTTATTTTTCCTAGAATGCAAAAATAAAAAAGTATTAAATTTCCTTTGGTTAAGTAATGACTACCATATTTTTGAACTTGTGGAAAATTGACACTCTCTATCTCATTATTAGGTACTCGGTCCAAAAATCTCATAACTTTACAGTGATTTTTTCACTAACGTGATCTTAGATAGCCGTGCTATTTATCACAGTCACAAGTGGGGCAAAATACTTTGCTGGTTTAGTTAAAATTAATCTAGTTTTTGTATGAGTCAGTTAGAGAAAAATGATGTAACCTAACTTTGACTTTTCGTAAAAAGAAAAATATTGCATACTACCCCTAACAAGTTTCTCAAAAGATGGTCCATTTAGTTAAGATTCTAAAATAGTACACAGCTCTTGTTCTTTTCTATCCATAACATTCATAGTCATTTTTTTTATTTGCCAAAAATTATTTTTATTGCACTTTTGTTGACTCCTTCCATCACATCATTAGGTAATGGGACCACACATTGAACAATGTTACACAGTGGTTTTTTAACTAACGTTGATCTTTCATATTCGTGCTATTGTGTGTGCGTGATTACTTTTACAAATGCAGTAAAACACTTAGCTGGTTAAGTTAAAATTAATGTAGTCGGGTCGGTTTGAGAAAAATAATGTCACCTAACTTGGACACTCTAGAAAAAAATATATACTACCCGAGACAAGCTTCTTCAGGTGACCCATTTAATTAAAAATTCTCAAATGTTACAAAACTTTCTACTTTTCTATCTATAACAATTCTTAACTATTATTTTACGAAATGACTTCATTTAAAAATAATTAATCCTAAGTATGTAATTCAACGTAAAAATAATCGGAAAACATTTTTATCATTCTTTAATGATTTAAACATTCGAAGAGTTTTCCTTCTAGTTTCTTTTCCCAAATCGAAACTGCAGCTGAACTAGGGCAAAATATTGCTGAAGCAGTGGAAGAAAAAAGTTTAGCCAGTTACCCGCGACTCATCGTACGATCTCTTTTAAAAAGATGTAGAAGCTGCATTCGTGTAGAAGATAAACAAGCATTTACTTTATTAATGCGTTACAAAAAATTTTAACTTTTTATTTTTAAATTTATTGTTGATTTGAGTTACATACTTAAAATTCAGTTTTTTCAAATGAAGTCATTGTAAAAGAAAGTAAAATGTCAGTGATTGTTATGGATAGAAATGTAGCAAATATTGTACCATTTTGGATTTGTCACTAAAAGGGGCATCTTTTGAAATACTTTGATTAGAATAGTATGTATTATTTTTATGAAGTGTCAAGGTTAAGTGACATCATTTTTTCAAACCGGCTTAAACTAAGTTAATTTTAACTCAACCAGTAAAGGCTTTTGCTCCATTTGTGGCTGCGATTAATAGCAGGGATATGAAAGATCACTTTAGAGAAAAAGTGACAGTGAAATTGTGGACGTACCCAGCTGGAAGTATCCGAGGAACTTGGAATGGCCCAGAGTGTCATCTTCAGGCTTTGGCAACGATTCCAAGATGATGGTAATGTGAGTAAATGTTACAGCACAGGTCGACCCCGAGTTACGACGCCGAGTGAGGACCGGTATATTTGGCAGTTACTTCCAAAAGAAACAGACGGAGCACAGCATCAGACCTGTCTCGTCAGTTCTCTTCAGCTACTGGTACGACAGTTTCAAGCCAGACCGTGTACAGACGCTTAGGACACATTGGTCTATATGCTCGTATGCCTGTCAGATGTGTTACACTTACCGCAACTCACTGTCGCCTGCGATTAACCTGGAGTAGAGAGCATGCATTGTGGACACCACAACAGTGGTCTTGTGTGATGTTTTCCGACGAGTCCAGGTTTAGTTTGCAGTCTGATTCTCACCGGACTTTAATATGGAGAGCGCCAGGTACCCGTTACCACCAAGAGAACATCATTAAACGACACCGTTACGGTGGTGCAGGATGGTTCGTTTGGGGAGGAATTATTCTTGGTTCCAGAACTGACCTGCATGTTCAGAGTGTAACGATGACAGCCCACATCTATCGGGATGTCATTCTGGAACAACATGTACGTTTGTTTCGGGGTGACATGGGTGTTGAATTTCTGCTTACGGATGACAATGCCCGTCCTCACCGTGCAAACATTGTAGACGAATGCCTTAAATCGGAGAATATCTCCCGTATGGATTGGCCAGCATACTCACCGGAATTGAATCCAATAGAGCATGTGTGGGATATGCTTGGCAGACGAATTGCAGCCCGTCAACCCCCTCCCACCTGTCTACCGGAACTTCGGAGGGCATTGCTTGATGAGTGGTGTAATATTCCCCAAGATCAGATTGATAATTTGATACTCAGCATGCCTAGGCGTTGTAAGGCCTGTATTGCATCGTCCGGGAGACATACTCCGTATTAACCATCATCATCATACTAACCATGTTATACTATTTTTTGTAAATAGGTTCTTTTTTGAAATTTGCTCCAGGGAGTAAAAATCGCAATTTTTATTAATTATGTCAAACATATAGCATCTTTTTTGCTCTTTACCTTTTGTTTAATAAATAGACTTTACAAATAAGTCAAATTTGTTTTGATTCTGTCTCTTTTTTTGCCTGAACTTCATTATCCTTAATTTATGGACATGAGAGTGTACTTAACTTCTCTTCAGTCAAAAGTTTCTTTAAAGTTAATATTTTTGTTAAGATAATCAGAATTTTTCCGTTACAAGTAACAATATTACATGGAAAGTATAATCGTTATATTCTAAGAAGTATTTAGCACAACATGGTCTTCGAATTCATAGAAGTGTCTAATTATGTATCAGATTTATTAAATTTGAAAAAGGTGAAAATAGATCCTTTCTGAAAACCTCTAAGCAGTGAAATATTAAACAGTTCATAAAAATGTAAATGGATTAGAAAATTACTACAATTATATGAACTTTTACGGTTTGCTCCTTTTCGGCTCCAGTTCAATTTTTAATGATTTCTGATGCTATGTATGCTATGTAGAGATAAATCAAAGATCGCGGATCTGTACGAAATGTGTAGATCTGTGTGAGTATGAATCTCTCTGAGAACTATATAGGTATTTAATTCTATGCTTTTAAAAAATTCTACAGTATAACTTACAATTGCAACATACATACGGAACGTACAACACATTCTTTACTTATAAGGAAGAATGTATTGCAGCGTTTCTCAAACTGTGGGGTGCGCCCCCTAGGGAAGCTTGATAAATTTACGTCGGGGGCACGAGTATATCGAAAAGTTGAATATAAAAGCTTTAAAAATATTATTAATTTACTGAAAGGAAGCAAAACCAAATACATTCTGGCATAATAAAAAATAAAAAATACATATTTACTCTAATATAATACACTTATAAGTGCATTTGATAATTAATTTTTCGATAGCAAGCTAAGAACAAGTTTAATAATTACTCATGACCCCATGGGCTTGTCACATGCTGTTGTTGTCGTGTGTTTTTATCTTGGGATACATATAAAATACGTGTGGAAGAACAGAAACATACAAAATACAAACAGAATATAGACATTTACAACACACGATGATCCCAGCATATAACAGAAGGAATATACTGCTTTCCTTTCGAGATGGGAATCCATTGCAGGCGAAAGTTCGACTCCTTTTCACGAAGAAGATACAACCATGCCTTATTCGGGATTCGAACCCGAACCCATTCAGTTACAAGCCGAGGGTAATATCCATCATACTAAACCGAGCGGCGGCTTGCCACATATAAAATTATATAGAAAATTTAATACTTATCTTGATAATTTGCGCAGTTTGTAATTAAAAAGTACATTATTATCGAATTCAATACATTACTATTGTGTATAGAAGGAGGGGGCGATGGAAATTATGGTTGAAAATTGGGTCATAGATATTAAAAGTTTGAGAGAAGCACTGATGTACCGAAAAATTATCATACTTTCAAATGATGTACATTATATATATATATCCGTTTAATTTATTGTACATAGTGATTTTTATAACATACCCCTGACATACTTAGATTCAATTATCTTTTTTTAAAATTTATCCTCTTTTATTTATAACGGAGCCATCGATGGAGATGCAAGGAGATAAAATTGTTGTTTAAACTTATTCAAAATCGACTGAATCAATATATGATCTAATTCACAACTAGTAAATACACAAAGAGCTTAGCGATCGAGGGAACTATGCAAGACAATCTGAATTATAAAAATTCAGACAACGTTCTCCCATTTGGCGTAACAAATGATACATCATAATAAATAATATTATAAAAAATGTACCGAATTCTGTCAGACACAGACAGAAGCAACATTAGAAGAAACTTTCTGAAACAGAAAAATTGATAAAGAAGATTTATTTATCATTTTTTAAATATTTTGAAAAGTAAATTCGACTAAGCTACTGAATTGAGTTCTAAAATGTTTCTTTTTTTAATACCTGATTTGTTTGCGGATATACCAAGTATATCTTGAGTTATTTTATCTTTCACGTACAGATGATAAATGAAATTAAAGATAAAATATATTATGTAAACAGATTTAGCACCTCTTTCAGCGTATAAATCTGTCCGTATCAGACTAAGGTGAAATCTTTCAACTATGTGACGTTGATGTATTCCTTCTTATCCATCCATCAACGATGTTATTGATGTAAAAGTTTACTATAATCAATTATTCACTTCCTCTTAAGAAAGCCTTATCAATCATTTATTTTGTTTACTTAATCTTTCTTTCTGTCAAATTTTGCACAAAGAGGTCTGTTTTTCTCAAAAGAGTTGACTTTTATGTTCAAGGGTATCTTTCAAAAATATGTTGTTTCCCCTTTAATTCAAAATTTAGCAGAAACAAGATTAATTTTTCTCTTCCCAGATTCAATTCTGAATTCTTTGAATTTCTGTCCCCGCTTTTTAATCAAAATATTTGCTTTATCTAGAATTAATGTTACTCCAGATATACAACAGACTGATTGGTGACGGACCTTTACTTCAGAGCCAGAGTTTAATGCCGATGACGATACCACGCCATGGGAAGATTTGAAACTAATTATAAATCTTCATTATTCCACAGTCTTCAGTAAATCGAGTATCGAAACCCCCACGATTCGATTAGAAGTCATGGGATTTAAAGCTGTAACACTAATTAAAACTTGATCGGTGAAATTGCTGAGATTAACACTAGATTGCCCGAGGAAGTCATTTTGACTTCTTTTTAATTTCAATTAGAAAAACTATTACATATATAATGCGCAATTTCTTAGAATTTTTAAGAATATATTTTTTCCCCAAGTGAAGTCTGTTCAGTCCGTAATTGTGTGAAGATCCCCTTGGATCTCACTTTGAGAACGAGAATAATTTTGAGTCAAAAAAGAACCAGTAGCCATTTTTATGAATAACTTTCTTTATTTGGTTATCTTTCCCAAATATAGAATCAAAGACTTTTAATAACAAATAATTCAAATAGCTTTATGAGGTTTAAATGGGACTTTCCTTTATATTAACTTAAATATTTACTGATACAATTAATTAACAATTAGAATATCGATCACGCAGAGATTACCGCAATAAGAGATCCCAGAATTATATTCAATAATATTCCTATTGAACATTTAACTTTAATCTCACTCCTAATATAAAACTTTAATGAGACTTTAATTATAAATCAATATTTACCACACTGAATCTCAGCTCTTCCTGAGCCTAATTTATCCACCTAGAAATCTTCAATAATAAATCTCTAACTTCACTATTATAACTTCCTGCTTCAATCTCTTTCTCCTACTGCCTCTCACTTTACTATTCCGTTTGACTTAAATACTTTATCTAATCTGCATATATAACACGGAATCCCTGTCCTCTTTTTAGAGCTGATTGGAAATAGGTAGGGAATTAAATTTCCCTAAAAAAGACGTCTCAGAAGGTTAGTGATAAAGTTCCGTATAGATTTGTCACAATTGTAACAATTTTTTATCGCGAATGCCCTCCACCGACTGAGCACTTCCGCCAATGTTTTGATGTAACACTCCGCTTCAGTTGTTGTAGTTGCTTCTATCTTGGAACAGCGTGTGAATAGCACCATCTCGAAATAAACCAATGTACAGTCCAAAAGTCGCATCGCATTTGTTAAAACACGAACCAGCATTTGACAACGAGCATTTGTAAAACAGCATTATTTATTTTAATATTTAGTAATAACTTGTTATATGAATGTAAATAATGTAAAAAGTATTAAAAGAGTTAATATTAAGCAAACTTCTTTACACATTAATCATTCTTTCACAATGCAGTCATTTTGATTGTTTTCGGGCAATAAAGGTACATACTAAGTTTCGGTCTTTCTAGTGTTAAATGTCTGCAATTCCAATTTTATTTAAGATCGTGTTTTTTATTCCCTCAGATTCTATAAGCTGATAAGAAATTGATTGTTTTTTATCAATTGACCTTTAATTAAAATGTGTAATAGAATCAAATTTTCCATGTAATTTTTTTAAAAAATAAATGTGTCTCAAAAACTTTAAATACAAATTTCCTTCTATTTTTATGAAAATTTCAAATTTTTCTTCATTTTCATGGATATTTTATGCTACTCGACTGAAACTCATCAATAATCAATCCGTGTCACAAGACTTATAGCTTATATCTAAATTATTATCAATAATATGTACTAATCAAAAATCATATAGTAATTATTTTATAACTTTAATATACATTTGTTCGAAATAATGTTTACCGCCTAAATGTTTGATATTTTAACTATATTTTACTACAAATTTGTTTGAAAGCCTATAATGTGAAAAATTTGTAATTTTATTTTACTCAGCCATTTGCTTAGAATACCTATAAACACAAATTTACTAATACTTCTTCTTATTCAGAAATTATGTTGAAGATTGTATTGATTTTTTAAATTTTAAGCGGCTTAATTTTTGCAGTTGCTTACATAAGTCTCTCAAATAAATATCGTAAAGGTTCTTATAGGTGGAAAATCTTACCCAAGTGCCATCATAGGAATAATTATGTAGGTGGTCAGGATATGTCAAAATGTTAAGAATTACTATTTAAGATATGGTGCATTTCTTTGGACACTTATACCAAAGAGAGATTAAACGCAAGAAATCTCCAATTGGAAAGTTTTTGAATTCAATTTTCAATAAATGGAAATATTTTTACACAGCATAATTATTCTGCTTAGAGAGTGAGTGAGAGATATATATTACTGTCTCACTACAAAGTTGCACGAAGGCTATTGGTGATGGACCTCGTCATTTTGACCTATGGTCAAGTGACATGGACGACACCTAAGCTGGCATACCCTTCCCCTAACTTCCACACCACACCAATGGGAAGACATTTGAGCCTCGATAGATTTTACGTGTCCCGGCTTTATCTACTCGACGGGTCTTCAGCGGTATTAGGCTCGAACTCATGACACGCCAGCCATGAGTCCGTGAACTTGACCACAAAACTAACAAAAACATAGGAGTTTGCAATTACTTGTTTACAGGGCAAGGGTATCAGCATCACAAGCAAGGTGATGCGTGTACGACTTCCACGTTCTGTTTAGAAAGGAAATAAATAATATCTATCAAAAGTACTTACACAAAATATTTTTTAACTCATGGAAAATAGAGAAAACTTGATCCACACATTTTATTTTTATCAAAAAAGAGACTCATCTTGTCATTCATCAGTACATCACTAGATTAGAAAATGTTTTAGTCTACTGTTCTGATTTTATTTCAGGAAAAATAAAATCCAAAGCTCACTTCTTTATTTATCTTTCTCTCCGAAATGGGACATCTAAAGATATTATGTATTTTATATTGCGACACTTTTTTATCCGGAACTTTCTTTCTGAACTCTGAGAACATTTTGTTACTTAGTTATTGTCAAGGACTCTTAATTTATAGTATTAAGAAATTCATTCGTATATTTCAGGTATAATGTATTTTATCTGCACCTGAAGTGCTTCCTTTTAAAGGATGAATTGTGTGTCCTAGAAAATGTTTCTCTCTCGCCATCTTTGTTTTGAAGAGATCTCAAGTGATATCAGTCACCTTGAACCAGTAATGGACTTGAATTTCCATTAAAACACAACCATAAAAATAATAGTTTTTTTCTATAGTGAAGATATTTTAAAAGCTCTAAGAGCATTAAAATTTATTGACCACCACCTTGGAATCTTTCATGCTTGTGGGGTTGTTACATATCTTGAAAGCTAAAAGTATCTTTTAGTATCTGTCGAAAAAGGAACACAAAAACTAGCAAATGAAAATTTATGAGCTAATCTTAAGTGAAATTGAAAACATTAGCTTTAACGACGGAGAATGTATACTTATTATTCTATATAATAATGAATGGGCACATTTGTACTCACAGTATCAGCCACAAGCAAAATTTTAATGTGCGGCTTATTTTGGCTCTTTAATTTAAATTAATGAATCTATTCCGTCAATAAGTAATACTAAATGGGAAGGCATGAGTCGAAAAAGCATGCAAATATCAGTAACAAAACGTGCTTTTAGTGTTTTTCTACCTCTCTCACACACACAGACGTGCACTTCTATTTCGAACAAACAAGGATTAGTTATATGTTACCTTCAAAAGGAATGTCGAGTATATAATGAATTTTTTTAAAATTCACATAAAATCAGCACTATTTAAGAAGTGTTGAATACACGTGGTCAAACTCGTTAAGTGAATAAAACATTTACAATCTGTTATGCTT